TTTTTTTGTAGGTTAGTGTGATTTAGTTTTTTTTGGAAGGTGTAAACAAGCAATCAGTTACAGCAGTTTGCTTTTTCAGTAGTTTTTCATAATCATACAATGTTCCCATAGCACCATAAAAGAGCACCTCGCACTGCTTGCCACAGAGCACATCTAAAGAATATTTCATAAGATTATTCAAAACTGATACTTCTTAAAAAACAATGTGAAATCCAAGCTTCCTAGTAAAAACTGATCATTGTACAAGGCTTAGGAAGGAATCTCAGGGAAAACATAATCCAGTTGCTGCCATTCAGTTGACCCAATTAAGGAAAACAATTGCTCTTTATTCAAATGGCTAAATAATGAATTTGGGCATGAAAAGATTTGTTTATGAAAGTTCTAATCTTAAAATATAAGCATATTTGTCAAAGCATTAAGTATCTAAAGAAACATTACAGCTCAATTTAAAGAATAAATTATAGAACTGTAAGAAGTTGCTAAGAAAAAAAAGATTACAGTGAGATTTGAATGAGACTGGTTACCTAATGCAGAATCAAAGTCTAAAAATAAAAACGGTACCCTTTGATTTTTAGGTAGTTTGACAGTTGGCAATACATCTTTAAAATCCAATCTTACCCATTTTTTAAAAGAACTTTTTATGACAACTAAGTAATCACTGAACTGATGCATACTTAGGGAACCAGTTAAGACCAAGATGTTCTGTCTTTGAGAACAGAATCCGATCGTGCAGCTCATACAGCGGTCTCCACGGCAGCTCAAGGTCCTCCCTCGACAGCAGCTCTTTTTTTCTGTCACATCAATGAAACATTGATAAGAATATCAGTGCAGATGATACATATAATGGTTCAAAATTTGGACATGGATTTCAGCATGCATCATCTTTGTTGTGCTGACAGTTCTTAGGATATTGTGATTTCATTGTAATTATGAGAAAAACTATAGAAAACAGATAGCATCAATTTAGTGCTGGGAAATAAACCCATTTGGATAATTCATTGAAAATGACAAAGTCAACAATAATTATTAAAGTAGGTCTTACAATTCTAATAAGACAGACAGCATATATGACCTAACAGGAACTCTACAAGACCACTATTTAGATACCTTCCTCAAACAGATTGCAAATATTACAATCAAAATTGTACTATTTGTATTTTGATTTAATAAAACATATCTGCACTTTTAAACAGTTAATGTTCCATAAACATATAGCTAGTTGAGAAAGTTTCATTGTGATTTTGCCCAGATCTCCTGGCTCTACGTCCATTCTTACTTGAGGAGGTTGATAAGTAGGCGAGCGAGGCCTTGCATCATGCTGATCTCCAGCTTGGGGATCGTCACTAGCTCATACAGCAACTTGATGAACAGCACATGGTCTTCTTTGCTGAATTTCCGTCCATAAAGTCTCATGTACCTGTAGATGAAGGACAAATTAGAAATAATTACTTTAACATTTAACAGATTGTTAGATGATTCGAGAGTGACATCCAAATTAAAATTGTGTGCATATTTTAAACTGCAGTCAAAATAGATTTAAAAAATTAACAAACGACTATGATACTATTTAAAATAATCAACTAAAAAGGAAACCAAATGAGAGCTCAGTAAAAAAATATACAAAAATAATCAAACTGATGTAAAACTCTGATTTTTGTGAGCTGCAGCATAAAAACTGCTAAAGTTCTTTTAATAAGATACCAGAGTGATCAGTGATTTCTCTACCTGTGTATAGGATAGAGTTGCACAGCATTGCCCTTCCCTAACATGTTCCCTATACACTGCTGGTCAGCTGGCTATAGAAGGTCAACTGTACTTTTCCTTTGCTTACAAGAAAGGAAAAAAAATCTGTCAGTTTGTAAATATACCTCATCAAAGTAACCCCAAAAAGTGGAAAGTAGAAGACTGTCACACATTACTCCTCTAAAGGTAAAGCTATTTAATAATGACAGCTGACAAGAACTGATCAGCATGGCAACAACAGCAGTGAAATAATTTTGTTAGTCCCAACTGAATATACTTGTGTTACTTTCTAGAGAGTGGAACAAGAAATAAAAGTGTAATACATTCGACAGCAAGCACAAAAAAGCAATGAAAAACGATGCTTACTAAAAAAAAATTTTTGTTTAAGTCTATTTAAACATTTTAATAATAATAAATATGAATATTTCAATCTAGTTTAGTTGAAACACCAATGCACTGAAAAACTTTGGTCAAGGTTATTGTGCCATGAAAATCTGTACTGGCTTATACCTGTTTACATGTTATATTTTCTGATAAAATTTGGATTCTTTGCTTAAAAGATGGACATGCAAAATGTATGAATATTTAGCAAATATTTGCTTTGATGAAATTAACTGGTAAACTATTAACCTGTAATAAAAGGAAAAGCGAGTTTTAGAGTCAAAAGATGCTGTCTTCCCACCATGATGACGCTGCAAATTGAAAGCTTTGTTTATTTTGGATGGAGTCATGTGGGTAAGTTTCAAATGAAGCCTACAAATAAACATTCAATTGGGTTAGGGATCACCCTTATGGGTGATTCAAAAAGTTAATGACCAGAAGAATAAATTATCTAAAAGCACAGCGAAGGATACAATGACCTAGTACCTCTAGACTGGGTCATGTAGAGTGTGTAACCGTCCCAACCCTGATTATGAAACCGATAAGTATCCTAATCAGACGTATAGAACAAATTTTCTTTTTTGGGAATTCACCGCTGTGTGACATTTTAGATGTCATAAAAAATGCCATGCTACCAAGCGACTACTTCTAAAGTTGTATTGCAAAATAAACAATTTGAAGTCAATCAAAGATCAGAATTAGTACAAAAGTTACACCTACCAAATAACCACATACATGCTGCACACTATATATATATTCGTTAGTTATAAGACTACCGGCGTCTCCAGATGTCATTAAAGGAAACACGATTAAGTGAAAAGAAAAACACGACTGTAATATTTGTGCGGTACTTACGTTGAAAGTTTTCTTGTCCAAAATAACACACCGGGCCATATTTCTCTTAGCTGCACAGCTCGGCCCAAGTTCCCCTTTATTCTGCTCAATATCTCACTGGATTCATCATCGAGCCTGTCCGCGTACGGTAAAAGTTTGTTGTATACGATGTCTTTTTGAGGAACAAAACCTAATGTGTCTGACTGCGCCTTCTTCATTTTACAACTTCCAACCGGCTAGCTTCGTTATGCTAGCAATTTCTTTTCCCTTCGGTCAGGTTTTCGGAGCCCGTTGGTTTGCTACCCGTTTAAAATAATGTCTATCGGCTTCCCAGTAGCTACTTTACCGGCTGAAAAGTGAGGTTGTTGTGGCCCGCACAGTACCAAGTTAGGAGATTCACAAGTTGATGACACGCTAGCTTGTCATGGATCTTAAGTTAAACCACCTCCCTTGAAAAACACACTACCGGCGTCATTTTAAAAAAGATATAAATGTTACTGAAAACACAACGTTAAGAAAAATAAAACGCCTCCCGTTCAAGCAACGTAATACCAAAACACTGTCACCAAGCTAACGGTCTAGCTAAAGTTAGCTCTGTACTACAAAAGCACTGTCATATCCCAAGGTCTGTCAACGTCAACTGATTCATCCAACTACTGCAAAGCTCAATGCAGACGAAACCTCGCTATTGGTGTTTCGTCGAAAAAAGCGACCCTGCTAGAAAAAGACCCACGAAGGCCCGTTTCATACCATTTAAAGTCAAAAGAAACAGGAGAGGTCAACAATTTTAATTTAAGACTATTTCGGAATCACAAAATTATGAATAAAAATGCACTTTATTCATAATTCCAGAATGTGCACGACCTGTAATTTCAGTTTGCCTCGATAAATTACATTTCCAAATGCAATTAAAACCCTGAATGCTCACTTGCACTAATTATATGGCGGTCATATGTGCAAGTATATGTATATGTAATTGAATGATATTGTAAATAATTATATATTTCTTACGTTGCTTATACTGTTGACTTATATGTACACGTGTACAGTAATAAATAATTAATTGCTAAATTGCTGAGTAAAATGTAGTGCGAAAGTGCTTCCGACTGCAGGCTGGAGGCACAGTGAGAGTCTGAGACCATAATACTGCTTTTTAATAAAAAAATTTTTAACTACATATTGTTCTTTCTCTTTTCAATTTTATCTTAAAATAACGTTTAATAATAAAAACACCGCTTGCGATTTTTTTCCCAAAGATAGCTTTCCACTCACTGCATCGCGGACGACGATAAAGTGCTTAGTTTGTCACGAGTACTTTTTTCAGCACAACACCGGCTGGCCCGACACCGGCTGCACAGTACATGCGTCATATCCGCCTGCTGCCACATAGACTACGCTTCCCAGTACCCCTCTCTCTATCCGAGCTTATTTAGCCCTTTAGCCATTTCAAACAGGATGATCTACTTAGGAGCGTGTCCTCCAATGTCTTTTAAGCTACGGAAATTTGTATTTTTTTTACAACGTCATTATACAAAGTTGCTTGTCTGAGACAAACGAAATAAAACATCTCAACACATTTCTAAATAGATATTTAACCAAAGTAGTGTACGTTTACATACAGTTAGTAAACAACAACCAACTATAAAAGTTATTTATATAGAGACATTTTCAATCTACTGTATACATTTTTTTCATTTTGTGGTGAACGGTAGCAAACACAGAGTTTGTTGATTGTTGACCTACATTGACAAATCTATCAAGTAAACAATGAACGGTTGATGCCATCTTGTGGTCAACTAAGGAAGTACAAGCATAGATGTGATTAAAAGATGTATCACTTTGACAGTATTTTCAAACAAGTTTATAATAAACTATAATGCATGCGCAAAATAAATTATCATAGTGGACTACGTTATAAACAATGCCCTTATAAAATCCCAAGAATTTATTGTTTGAAGAATATGAAAGAGTCAATCCACAAGCACGTCCGCCTGACGTAGGTACACGTTTTCTCACCTAGACGATCTTTCGTGGCGTAAGCGTGTCCTAGCAACGCTTAAGGTCTATTCTCCGAACTCGCAACAAAAATGCCATCTTATTTTCAATTACTTTAACCGAAAAATACATCTCTGAAACACAACAAGAGTGAGGCTGAAATGATTAAGGAAAAGTTGAGTTTTAAGTGTGATAGGCTCCTGTCACACCAGCAGCTCGCATGCTGCGACTGTTACTGTGGTATGCCTCACCAGGGCAACAATGTGCTCATTTACAACAATAAGAAGACACAACAAAAGGTTTGTTCACATTCCGTCTATTATATGCAAGAGGAATTTAACTCAAACAACTTAATTATACGGCTGTGACTCAGAACATAAATGTTATGTATGCAGTTTATACATGTATATAAAAATCTGGTATTCTTCTTTACAGCCACTGCTACTAACAGGTCACCACGGTGACGTCAGTGCCATGACTTTCGGAAAAAGAAGCAGTCCTGTTACCTTGTGTTCTGCCTCTTCTGAATATATTATTATTTGGGATATTGAGGAATGTCAGAAAAGAACAGAAGAGGGTAAAAAGTAGTTCTGTGTACATAAATGTCTGCAGTGCAGTTCTGTCATCTTTTCTTGCAGCTTTTGTAATGCTAGCCTGTCAATAAAATTCACAAGAATATTCTGTTCTTTCACAAATCTGTTTAGTAGTTTAGACAGCCATATTTTTTCTTTTTCTTTTGTGTCTCTTGTGGTCTTGGACTTCCTTAATTTTCAGTTTAGATAAACTAAATAAGTTTGTCTGCAGGTAAACTTGCTGCTGGAACAGTGATCGGTACTTTACTGGGGAATGTTGTGTATCTCTCATTCTGCTCCAATGATGAACTGGTAGCTGTATGCTCAGGAACAACTACTTATGTCCTCAATTCAAAGGTACATCTGTGTGGACACACCTAATATTTTAATAGTAATGCATAAACTATTCAACATTAATAGCTATGTGTCAAGAACAGCACAAGCAAATTTTAAGGTGCCTAATTTTCTTACATATCTCATATTACAATAATGTCCCATGAACAACTTACTCAATTTTCTCTGAATTAATGTTTTTTTCTTTTATAGCTACTATAACAAATAGTAACAAACACTCATCTCTATTTAAAAGACAAATGTTCCATGTGCTGAATGTTGCTGGTATACATATGCTCTTTACATCCGACTGTTAATAACTGTATATTATTGCTTCATATCTGAATTTTGTTGTTGTCTCCTACATCAGAGACAGGCAGTGATTTTCACATTAAATGGCCACCTTGGATTTTTAACATGTGCAGAGTTCTGTCCATGGAACACAAATATTCTTGTCAGCACCTCAGAGGATCGGACTTTTAAGGTGTTTATGCATATGTATGCATGTATATGTGTATACATGTATCGTTTCTTAAAGATCTCTTTACCTTTTTTTTTTCAGGTTTGGGATTTAAAAACTGGAGCTGTTTTCTACCAATCCTTTGTCCTTGGAGGTGACATACATTTCTACATCTAGAGAAAATTAATTACCCTATAGGCCAGTAGTATATAATAATATAATATTTAAACTTACATAATATTTGATAATGTATTTCTGATCATATTGAAAAAATTGTATGAGATGAATAGGGATCATTTTTAGAATTTTGACTCATTGTTCAGTTAACTCTGTAAGTTACAAGGTTGTTATTTGATCTTAGCAATTTAATTAAAATGGGGAACCTATTTATTAAAATACGACTTAAATCATATTGCAATTCTCTGACATGATGGCAAGCAATCTGTTTAACCAAATTCTAAAAATAACTCATTACCAGTTATCAGATATGCTTAATGGCAGTTATTGCTGACAATGTTTTTGTTTTTTTATGTTTATTTTTATTGCTTTATTTATTTATTTAAATTTGTATTATGTACTGTGCTGGAACAAACAAGCAGCATAGTACTACTTGTTTGTTCCAAGCAGTACTATGCTATCTTCATAAAGACCTTTTATCTGTAGTAAGATGAAAGATAAAGTAGTTTTCATCTTAATAATTTAATATAATAAGGTATTATTATCGTATTACTATCTTATCTTTTCACATAGGGCTTGGTTGGTTTGGATAGTTTATTCCTCTGACTCAGTGAAATTGTCATAACAAAAATATATGTTGTACTTACTTTGGTAATCTTTGTCTTATAAGTATTATATCAAAGCATTTCAAAATAATTGAAAATAAACAATTCTTTAACCTTTTTAGAGTCTCCTCTACTTAGCGTGTTGTTCTTGGAGGAGGAAGAGCAGCTTATTACCGGCTCAACTAATGGACAGGTTAGTGTCTGAGATTAAGCATGCTATTACCCAAATATAAAAATTGAAATTCATGTTTGTTTTAGGTCTGGTGCTTTTCTTTTGATGATGACCAGAAATGCCATCTTGTGAAAAAAATGGACCTTCAAAAGATGGAGAAAAGATATGAAATGCGCCAGGAGACACTGAGCAAGCCACAAGGTAATACAACCATTTACTAGAGGAAGA